GATTTTTGTAATATATCAGAATTTAGTAATACAATATATACACAAAGTAAATTAACTCTTACACTCAAAGCTGTGTTTCTTCAGATGGGTAGTGAGGTGTACATTACATTGACAGTTTAGCTTTATATTTAGTCCAACGTTTTGAGGATTAGCATATTGCCAATTCTTTTTTATAGAACGTCTCCGTATTACTGATTATTTTATTTTAAAACATAAACAATGACATAGACCATAGTAGTGAATATGTAAGACTTATGATCAAGTAGTTATACGAACCCACGTTTACTGCAAGATATCACTACTCACTTGTTACTAATATTTGCATTCGTACTAGCAAAATTAGTATTTTTACTATGTTGGCATTACATACCTTTCTCAAAAGTCTACTACGTACTACTACATACTCCGCTACCTGACTGAGGACCCTTACAAAGAGACCAAAGTCTTAACCATGCGACAAATGTTTATTCTTTTCAGTGACAGTCCTCAAACATTACAGGCTCCTGACCTGTAGCCCACTTTCTCTCCAGGGAAAAAGAGACTACAATTCTGCTGATACCGCCAACCACCAGTTTCGCACCTGCTTCACCAACTGACTTTTGTTTTATCGGAGGATATGACTACTACAAATGAATTAACCCATAAACATATCCCCCATAACAAAATTAACATGCAAAAATCGATTGACTGAATGATTGTTTACCTATGAAAACACTGAAAAACGAATTAAATTCCTCTAATAATAGGCATCCGCAATGGCTCACACACACACTTACTCACTTACAAAAACACACACAGTTCGCACAAATAAATAACTAACCCAGATATCATCCTGTAAAATGGATTGCAATTAAAACAATCTGCTCTATATTATAAAAAAATAATAGAAAGAAAACCTGGAATGGACGCCTAGTGACCTGACATACAGGTTAACGCATAGTTTAGGCACCCGTCTCCCACAATCATCTAGTACCATGTAAAGTCTAATTTAAGTATAGTTTAATTCTAAATGATCTGTGGTGAGGAAATAAATAAATTTTATTATTATTAATAATTGCCTGTTGTTTCGATCAGGTTGCAATGTAATTCGCGATGTTAAATGTATTCATCCAAACGCATATTTTTGATATTTTACGGTCACTTTGTATACTGTGTGTAGAAGTATCTATTAGAAAACCAATATGACCCTTTACTGCTATTCAGGCGAGCTTGCATAAAAACAAGGTCAAATGTCAAAGGTCGAGCGGGAGGGACTCCAAGGGCGGCTACGCGCTTGTGACTTTTGAGTTGCAGGTGTCCATGGGCGGCGGTAGTTGCTTACCATCAGGTGACCCGTTTGCTCGTTTGCCCCTTATACCATAAAAAAAATGTATTTTATCACCACCAAAGCTATTTTTACACTGTTAATATATTAAATTTTCATGAATTCTATCTCAAACAGTAATTTTTAACCTACCGTAATTTTCATTTTCAATTATTATTTTATGGTGTTTTCAGTTACCATTTAATTACCAAAGTAACTTTCATAGTAGCATTCCTGAAATTTTCATGATTTCCACCATGAAAATAACTTTTGTTATGAGTACCGTTTATTATGTATTAGAAAGTGCAATTGGTTAAGAAAACTTCAGAGGTCGGCCCTACTTCGTTAGACTGACATCTAATTTCCTGGCGCTAACAGAACCCTATTTCTTAACCTTCTATATCTCCTGTATATTTGCTCTGATTGTTTGCTGCTTTTCAATTGTATCTCATTTTAATAAATTTTAATTTTACACTTGTGCCGCAAATTGAAAGAACCGTATGAGATATAGTATATATGAAGCTTAGCCAAGCGAAGCGTAGGCCCAAAACCTCCTTTCTAAGGAGAGGGCTATGTCCAGCAGTGGACTATTAAAGGCTGTTGTTGATGATGATGATGATGAAGCTTTTATTTATTATATGAGGTTTTTTTTTAAGGTTCACATTGTTTAATTTTTGTTGAATTGTATTTTCAGTTTTGTTGGTCCATGCTGTGGCTACCTGTAAGTGGTGAGATGCTTAGTCCTAACAAATGTTAGTTTGGAAGAAGCAAATTGTAATAATATACCCGCCGTTGGTGGCCGAATAAATAAAAAAGAAAATACAATAAACGGGCTCATTTTAACAAATGCATAAGTTGAGTCACGCTAGGAGGGTTAAATAAAATAGCTTGTATTTTCCATTGGCACATTGCTTCTACTGTGAATAACCAAACAGACCTGTTCAAGTAGAATTTAATCAAGTTAGACACGCGACCTCTCACGCGAGGCTTTCCTCGTTTCAAGCAATTATCATGTCGATTTTATAGTGATTGTGTTTTTGTCTGCTTGCACTAATGCTTTCAGTCAAGATTTTTCTATTTCACGTTAGTAACCGTCTTTTGATAGAATATAATATTCGTTATTTTAAACAATTAGGATATAAGTAAGGTATAAACTGTGTTAAAGGTATCGGTAGAAAAAATTCAAAAAAAAAGGAAAATCCTTATTATATTAAGGAAAACTAAGTTATTTTTACAAATTTACTAATAAGTTATGCTTGTTGAGAGAAATGTATCATGTTTTTGAGATAGATTTATTTTAAATTACAACAGACATATAAGATTGCTTTTATTAAAATTGTTAAATTATAAAGTCTCAAAACTATAAGGAAGATAAATATAAGCAGCTACTTTCTATTTGTAAGATCCAACCGGGTCCAACGGTATAAAAACCAATAAAAAATAAAGAGATTGCTTGACACATATTTGGACCTTGTTCAGAAAACTTAACAAATACTTATTTATTAATATTTGTGTTTTTACTGTCCATGGATGCGGATGAAATAAACAAAAAATCTTTAATATTCGATTCCGATACATCGTATTTGGGGCAATATTTTTCGGTACAGAACGGCTCAAAGCTGTCACACGACTTTGATATACAGCCTATTCTACTTTAGAACATCGTTAAATGATACCTTCATATTCTCACTAGCATTTGTTCTTAAACGTATTTTCTAGTTAAGCTTACCATAATGTGGAGAACATGTTTGTTAAACGTTTGTACTGAATTGAGACAATTCATATTTGGTTTAGTTTCATGATTTTATGTTATGTTAAGTGCTATTTATCATTATTGTTCTGTTTTATTAATGTTAGTACTGTGATTTGGGTAGTGAGAAATAGATTGCATTTTAAAATCACGTCAATACGATGTATAAGCAATCAATTACCCAATTATTTGCTTAACCTTTAACTGGATAGGTAGTTCGGTGGTTCGCCTATAAATGATTCACCACTGGCTACACAACTCTACGCTTATTACAACCACTGTGCGCTAAAGGTGAATTCTTCATATAGAATAGCTGAGAGATATTTTTAGTCACTTCAGTTATTTAAAGGATTACCTATATTTTTATAGTACCCGGGTTAAACGAGCAGACAGGTCACCAGATAGTACCTAAGTTACTAACGCTGTCCATGGACACCTGCCACATTTTAACCCCCCCCCCCCCCCAATCAGGGGAAGGGGATTTCCGGTTTCAGTAAACTCACTTATTCGGTGAAAAATAACAAAGAATTCTTTAATACCGGTTTTCCGTGACGTTGTGGTATCACTCCAATCGAGCTGGTCCATTTGTACTGAAGAATGTCTCTCCCATTATATTCCCAATGTACAATCGAGTCTGATAAATCCGGGTGTCATGTAAATATGTTGAACGAATGCTAGCTTGATGAAATAATTTTGTTTAATGGACAAATAACAATCTCCTCACCATATCTTGCTACAACTTCATCATTTTCTTACAACTTGTATTTCCTTAACGCGCTGCCATTACTGCGTTTATGCGTTTTGGCATACTATACACAAAGTTTGTTATACGATGTTGGGGAATATTATATTCCTCTATGAAATTTTTTTAATGAGATTTATTTTCAAAGAGATATTTAAAGAAGATTTTGTTAGCCCACGTATCGTTCGAGCTCGTCTTAAGCATACTTGAGTCAGCACGGAACCCAACCCGATGCGGTATTGGTCACTCTATACAGTACGTCTTAAGTCTTAAATTTAGTCATACTCAATCCGACCCGAATTTCTCACCGACTCATTGCTGTGGAGTGATTCACATTAAGTATGAACGTAAATATTGTACTATACCAGGATGTACGAAATTTATCTCCAAAGTTTTCTTTTCTCGAATTTAATCTTAGTACGAGTAAGTATTGTGGTGTAAGGAAAAGAATTTCATCAGTCATTATCTGGTTCATTAGTAGACTCACATTAAAACTCAGTGAGGTTGCTCTTTCACATATATTTTATTTAAATAATAATAGGTCTTTACCTATGAAATTGCCGTTTTGTATGCAATAAGTGAAAGTACTTATTTTTTCAAACTTTTTTATTTCTGTTATTCGAAGTAATCACCCATGCAATCGACGCATCTTTGCCAACGCATTGGCAGTTTATTGATGCTTGTAAAAATCAGCTGGACGGGAGGCAACAAACTCTTCAAAGAAATTTTGTACTACACTAAAAAATTGTCTAAATTTTGTAAAAAGTAATAGTCGGTAGGTGCAAGGTCTGGTGGTGTCTGGACAAAATGCCTTTGAAGACTTTGTTGCCTCGCGCCCAGCTGATTATGATTATTCATATTACAAAAAAAATGACAGCCCTGGCCTGTCGCATTTTTCCGATGTAAATGTTCTAGGAATCGGTGATTTTACAATAATTTTATAGACTTTTTAATTTTAGGATAATATTTCTAGGTTAGGAGGCAAGTAATCAATAAAACCATTTATATTTTTTTGCATTTTTATTTTTTTACTATTTAAATAGTAAAAAAAAGTAAAGTTAATAAGTAAAGTAAAGTTATTTTTTTACTATTTAAATAGTAAATAGTAAAAAAATAATTATAAGCAACTGAACTTGAAACAAAAAATTAGTGACAATCATTGAAACAACTTTTACAAGAGGTCACTTCACAAATAGAACATTTTGTTACAACTTGGGCAGCTTCTCGTAGTTTTCCCTCGATGGTTTTTCCTGGTATTTTTCCTTGTACCTACCGTATTTCTTATAACATTCAGAACAACGAGCTTTCTTTTTCACTCCATCTTTCATATTCGGGACCAGGTAATGTTTAGCACTGACTGAGCTAGGGGTAGCAGTCACTGATGTGTGATTGGATCCTTCGAGCATACCTGTAATACCTTGTTCACGAAACTCTGTGATTGTTAGTTTCTTTTTATAGGTATACTGGTTATACAAGAAATGGGCGTTCACCACGCTGGTGCCCCATATAATTTCAAACATCAGTTTCCGATACCATTATGTGCATCTACATAAAGCTGACCCATAAGTCGCCATCTGGTCACTCACATCTATTGATGATTTACCTAGATTATAATCTTCAATACATGCAGGTTTTCTTATGCTTTCACCTCTTCTGTTCCTTTTGGCGATCGTTTTTAGACCAGATTGCTTTGTGGAAAGTATAAGCACATCTCGCTTGTCACGCCATTTCAAAGCTACGATGCGTTTACTTGATTGCTGAGCTGCTATTTCGCCTTTTTTTAGTTTTGTGTTGGTAACTTCCTTAGGCAAGTATTTTCTGTTACTTCTCAATGTCCCTACTAAATGTGTCTTTCGTTTACGCATTCGCAGTGCAAGTGGAACACTTGTGTAATAGTTGTCTGTGTACCTGGTCCTGCCCTCGTTGAAAAGACCCTCTGCCAAAGATAGCACTACCTTTTCTGAGACTTCTGTATTAGGTTCCTTCGATTTACCACAATATACAATCAGGTTCCATGTATATCCCTTCTCAGTTCACAGTTTAAACACTTTTACTCCATATTTGGCTCTTTTGTTTGGAATATATTGGCGGAAAATAAGTCTGCCGCGCCAAGCGACCAATGACTCATCGACACAAACTTTTTCTCCTGGTGTGTAGACATTTTGATAGTCTTTTATAAACATATTGAGTACGTCTTTTATTTTATACAGTCTGTCATCAGTATCATCAGTTTGGTTGCTGGCGAAATAAACAAATTTTAGAATCAGCTCGAATCTATTCCGAGGCATAACAGGACGAGCTAGGGGTATACCATAGAGTTTGTGGTTTCTCCAGTAATCTTTGATACTTGGTAATTTCACCAAATCCATCCATTCAACTAGAGCCAAAAATTTCAACATATCGTCTCTAGTTACTGGAGTACATAGGTGGTTTCTTGATCTAGCAGAAGAATCTGAAGATAAGAGACACTGTGTTGCGTATAAGTTTCTGTGATATATTCTAGAATGTTAGGGGTTAGAAACAACCTGGAGGCGAGAGCCCTTGCGGATCTGTATCAGTGGCGCAAGGAGGCGCGGGAGTTGGGTCGGTGTCCCGAGATTCGAGAAATCGATGACCGGAAATCCCAACTCCGCCAGGTCATCATAGGGGAGTGGAGGGAACGAACGGCCCGGCGTGGGTTGAGCAGAAGCGAGACCTCGTGGCGGCCATCGGAGTGGGAGTTCTCTCGCTTGATAGCCTGATTGCGGCTATCGTGCGGAGCGAGAGTGCGTATAACTCTGCCGTCTCCTTCTGCGAGCAAGTTATGCTCGCGAAGGAGACGGCGGAGCGGGACCGGGAGAGGTTTAGGACTCTCCCGGCCCGCCAGGCCCGGGAACGGGCCAGGTACCGCAGGCGACTCAGGCGCCGGAGGTTGCAGAACGACCTCCGACCTCCATAAGCGCAGGCCGCCATCTGTCACCCTAGCAGAAGCAGGCCGGGGTTCGCGATCGCTTCCAGGGAGCAGAGGGAACATGGGGTTCCCACACGGGGGGGTCGTCTACTCGTCTGTAGATGGCCCGAGGTATATCGGGGCACCAGGAACTTCCTTTCTAGGGTATACCTGGTTCCCCGGCTATTAGTACCCGAGACGGCGTGCGGTTTTAGTCGGTTCGAGTCCGACATGACACCGACGGGTGATATCCGAGGGGATTTCCGCACGGAAGAAAAAAAGGGGTTAGAAACAAGTCATAGTAGTCTATTGGATCCGCATTAGCTAATAATCCGATATAAATATCCTTCATACCGGAACTTGGTACAGTATAATCTATGGCAGGATGATCATCATGACTTGGCATTTCCCATTGTATGTTGGACAGTTGTTCTTCCATCCACTCTTGTTCAGAAATTTGAGCATCAGTAGAACCAGAAGTACTTGGCACGTTTGGTGGCTGGAGTTCTGAATCGACAGGAGCTGTCTTTAATGACCTAAGCCGTTCTATTTCAGGCAATGGAGGTATATCACTATCCGAACATGTTGACAAACGCCTTGAAAACCTAGGAGGGTTCCAAATCTGACTGTCATTGTCGTCACTTGTACTTGTGTCACTAAAGTCTTCATCGGGCATAAAATTGGGGTCCTGAACGGAATCATGACTTGAATACTCCATAGCAAATCACTTATTTGAACGTTTCAACACTTATACTGTAACAATAGATAAAAAATATAAGAAAAAACATGAATCAGAATTCATGTCTTTTCTTATATTTTCTTCCAAAACGCGTTCTTGAGTCCTGAAACAAAAAAGTTTTTGCCTGTGTATCTTTTCGGATGGCCTCGGAGGTATGAATTTCAAATGAACTATTTCCCGGGCCACGTGTATCTAAATGTCACACGGATAAAAATCCAAGAAAAAAGTGGGAAAAAAGGGGGTTTGAAAAAGAATATATGATTAATCTGTAGTTTTAAATACTTCCGAACAAAAAAATAAATTGTATTTTTTTTAAAACGTTCACTTAGGGTCTGGCGCTGAGGGTGTTAAATTTTAGTCAAGTGATCGCCTGAAACACAGGTTTATCCCAGTTCAGGCAGCGATTAAAGTTTTTGAATTAAATCTTATTACATACCTTATGTGTAAAAAATATGTACAAATAATATATTACTTTAGTTTTACATTTGTCTTACTTAAGGATTAACGAAACTACTGTTTAAGATGTATTTTAAATAAAAATGTCCTACACTGTAACATATTTTGGTCAAATAAATAAATATTTAAAATATATTGAATTAATAGTGTAATAATATATGTGTAATTAAATAGTGTTAATTTCCCTCTGCTGTTCAGTTCAGAGGAACCAGCTACAGCTAATACTATTCCTGTCACTGCCTGTCTCTAATGTCTCTAAAGTAGGTACACCCTTTTTCAGTAAATTAGACAAAATTACAAGCGATGCACACCGTTTGTATCACCTATATTAAAACCTCCATTAACCAATTCTATTTTAACATTTACATAATTAATTACACGGTCCATTACTTCACTTGAAACTCTTCCCTTATATTCAAAGTAAGCACGCTTGATTAGTTACGATTGAAGTAGCTATGTATCCATTAAACAAATGGAATATTCAACTTCTCAAATCATTTCGTAATAATGTAAGAGTAATATGAGACGCCCACAAAGGTTTTGAACTTTGTACAAACTTTGTAGACTACAAAGAGTCGGAGCTCGAACAAAAGGCTCCATCTATCGTATTTGATATTATTTATTAACGCTTTTGGAGGTTGACAACTAAGAGTGTTACGTAGTAAGGTTCTTCGTTACTTCCAAGCTAATTAGAGATTGACTGATCTTGTCTAAAGCTCGAGACTTTGAAGAAACAAATTATTTTGATGCTTCAGATGATGATGTTAAAAATTCTGTGACAAGGATTTAGTTAATATTTTGGATCCGAATATACGTTACTTAGAATAAATGTATATATTTGGTTTAGTTTGACTAACTAAGATATTATATGCTTCAGATTTGAGTTAGTGTGTTAGAGAATCCTTTTCTGTAAACTAAAATTCTCTATTTGTATGATAAAATCAAAAGTATTCTTGTTATTCAGAGTAAAACTGCTTTATAACCAGCGATAAATGTAGCCATTAAAAATTTAGCACAAGAAAACACTTAAAGTGTTTTATCTTAGCTGTGTTCGTTTTTTTTTACCCCTTTAATGTTTTTTCTCCACTGTGGAATTAACTGCATAAATAAAATTACTTTAAACTATTTTGTTTAGGATGTGCCAAAATTGTGTGCCTATCATGGAGGATTGGTTAAAGTGGCAGAATGACAGCATCAACAACTTCTGCCGCAGATGCTTATCGGACACAGCTACTGCCGTCCATTCGTGTGAGTAAAAAGGACGCAAAAATATGTCGTTAAGACATTTTTTTAAATAAAGGATCCGAGCACATTTTATTATATTTTCTGTTTTTAAATTTCATGGCAAGTCTTTATAATGTAGAAACCACTTATTTTCAAACAATCGACAAGAAAAATCTTTATATCACAATCGTATTCTATCCTGTTTGCTAAATTAATATGTCCTCATATTTTATTTATTTATTTCTAACCATTTTTCATCAACACAATTTAAAAAATTACTGAAATAAACAAAATAATTTGTGCAATAATAAAAATTACAAAGAGCTTATTGCGTGCTATCAAGCGGACTCGTTAAAATATTCGTGAGTGACGTAAGGTAAGAAATAATCATAAGTTGCCTTTATCGCGCCCTTCATAAAACCATCAAACCGTATCTTCATGCAAAGTCGAATTTAATGGGCAAGCGGCGAGAGTTCAAAGTGGAAAAAGTTACCTTTTATAAGATATGAAAAGTGACATAATGCTTGGATTCACGAAGTGCTCACTCGCAAAAATATTTAACTTTCACAGATATTCCTTGAACGCCTGGGCCCAGCAGCAATTAAGATCATTTAACAGTTTTGTGGTAATGCATACTCTGTACATATATTTATATATACCTATTTATTATTACATGAAATATATTTCATGAAGTGTTTATAACCTAAATTAATAGTATAAAATTGTTAATTTTTTATTGTTCTAGGATATTTTGATTCAAGAGCGAGGGAATAATGACTTTAGAATATTGTGATTTCATGTATACTCGTAATACAAAGTAGGTGCAGACAATCCAAAGTACAGCGAAGGTAATTTGCACTAATTTGTTATTGTCATAATACGAACTGACGAACGTCTTATCCCTCAAGGCTAATAACCCGGTTACAGGTTTCACCTGCCAAATTAAACCTTTTACATTTAAAAACAAAGCAATAATTCAAACAGCTAAGTTCTTGTGTTCAAACAAAACACGTCGAATTTTAACGAAGGTGAGGCGAGAGGACAATTAAAAGTTTTGCATAATTCAGTTGTGTGTCTGAAAACTGGGGTCGGGAGCACACCCTTAACTTGCAGCCCCCACATCTGGTCCCGAGTTGATTACGAGATCCGACTTTTTGAAAATTTAATTTTGCTAATTTTGTTTGAGTTTCGACATGATCGCTTTGTGGTTCCTAGTTGACGTTATGCTATGAATATTATGTATTTATCATTATTTTCTTTAACTATATATTTAGTAGATAGAGGGGTGAAGCAGGTGAGGCTTTACCCGAAGCTATTCATCGCAGTCCTAGAATTCTTCATCCAAAATCTCGAGTCGAACTAAGGCCGGCAACGCGTTTGTGACTCCTGAGTTTCAGACGTTCATGGGCGCCGATGGTCACTTTCCATCAGGTGACACGTCTGATCGTCTGGGCCCTCTAACATAAAAAAAAAAAAAAAAACTAGGTATCAAAATTGATGGCAAGTACCTTTCAAATCTCAGGTTCGCGGACGATACAGTTCTGGTGCCAGAAGATGCTCACTTAACTAACAAAGCGAGACAGTCGGAATGTAGATGAACTGGGACAAAACCATAATAATAACCAATCGTGAACAAACTCAAATAACTATACAGTCAACACCTATTTCCTATATTGAAGATTATGTTTACGTAGTACATCTTATTTCATTTAAGTCATGCACAGAAAAGGAATTAAATTGTAGAATAAAGAACACCTGGAATAAGTACTGGTCGTATCCAAAGATATTCTTAACCCTCATCTAGGGTTAAAAAAACGAGCGAGGGGTCCGTAAGACTAGATCGTTTTTGATCTCTAAATGACAGATGTTACATATTATCTGCGTTGTTATCGTTAATCGCATATAATAGTTACATCTGACATCTCACCTACCATTTGATAGCTATCTCTCTCTCTCATTGCTCAAATTTAAACAGTGCGTACCTTCTCAGCCTCTTATTCCACACTTACGTACCTTATAATGGGTCTCCTCTACAAGTCAGGAGAGCGGGAAGAAAGATATTACACATGGAAAAAATACTAATTTAGCTGTTCCGGTTCAAGTCGAGTAGAATTTTTAATTCATACTTGTACAAATTGAAATCAGATTATTACTTTCCGCGAAAAAAAGATTAAATTATAACCAATTCATTAATAAAGACAAAAGTTTTACACATTTACTTATAAAATCAAAATATCTGCATAAATGTTTTCTATCATATTAATTTATACTTTATACCAAACTGTACTGAAGATAGTTTTATGTATGGAAGTTGATGAATTTAACATCCATTGTAGAATCGCTTTAAGTAGTTCAAGCGATCTTACTGTGCCGTTGCGTAAACGTTTAGTACTTTTATAACCATGAAATATAGTTGTTAAAAAATGTGTTAGTTTCAAAAGGGATATTACAAAGAATTAGCCGGGTTTGGTATCCAAATCCACGCAAATCCAGAGTATGCTTAACTGTCCAACAAGCAGTTGAGCACCCTACGTAACTCAAACAGCATTAAGTGGAATTGTGAGATCAATTTCCATGTACCATCAGTTGCATTTTTACAAACCCCAGTGATTTTTAAATGCACTGCAATCATCAATTGTGAAATGTTTTGTTAAAATGGAAAAAAATATAATAATAACTGCAGAGGACGACTAAACAAAAGATGGAGGGACTGTGTAAAAAAAATATATGACTAGAAAGGATGTAATCAGTAAATTGACGATTGATGGAGGAAGATGACAACTCATTATGCCGATTCTAAATATATTTTTAAAAATATAAGAAGATGACTTATTTATACTTTGTAAATACGAAAATTGTCAAAGCTTTCAGGATTATGCTATATCAGTATAAATGCTATGTTATGACTATTTCCAACAATTTATATGTTTTTACTATATCCCGAATAAATTTAGATCCCTAGACTTTGACTTTCATTTGTACAACGTTACGTAGGACCCGACAGTAACGGCTGTTAATAATTGCCAAACCAATTTAATTGAACATTTGAAATTTCGTCTTAAAATAAGCAAAACTCATCTTCAGAAATAAATTGAAATTTGCAAACTAAACTGATGAATTTTTTATAACTTTGTATTAATATTTAAAAAATATTAGTAGCAGCAAAGCAGAATATAGTAAAGTTAGTTTCCTTGTGTGACAATATAAATTTAGAAAGCGAACCTCTGTAAACCATAAGTAGATATAATTATGGTTAACAGAGGTTGGCTGCATATACACGCGTGAATGATAACTCAAGC